TGTCTCTCTCTGTCAAATAAATAAATAAAAAATCTTAAAAAAAAAAAAATTAAAGATAATCAGGAAAAAAGTAAACAAAATGAAGTTTCATCTGAGTTTTAAAAGTTGAGTACAATTTGGTGAGGAGGAGAGAAAGGGAGTGGCATTTCAGACAGGAGGAGTGGTTTGAATGAGACATGGAGTTGAAGGATAGTTAAAGACTGGCCCCAGATGATGTGTAAGATGTAATTGTCTTTTATTTTCTGAGATAATTTTTTGATATCCTGATAGTGACTAGAGAAGTTGTTTCATGAAGGCAGCTGCAGGCAGATAATGGTACTGAGGCCGAGGTATCAGGACACCTGAATTTCCCTTAACCCTATCATTTACTTACCTTGCAATATTTACTCTCTCTGAACTTCAGTTTTCCTATCAAATAAGATTAATAAAACTTTTCTATCAAACAGTGAGGCTTGAATAAGACACAGATAAAAAGGACTTTTAAACGCTATAGTGGTATTATTATATACAACATATTTTCCCTTCTTTTTCCAACCTGCAACCCAGCCATTTGTTTTAAAACTCAAATAATATTTTTGTCTTAATGGTCTGTGCATTTCAGAGGCAGAACATAATACAGATTCATATAGTTGATAGTTTACTTCAAAAAAAAGTTGAGTTCAAAAAGAATAGTACTATATTAAATGATGCAAATAATAGGTTATTATTTTTCACTGGAGAATGAAGTCAACTTTTTCTAAAAATAAGTTCCTGAATCACTGAAAGTTTTTTTAATTTCACACATTTTGTCATCTGTTCAGATTGGCAGAATTTCTGTAGTACTTTTTTTTTTTCCTTAGTGGTTTAGGGTGTAGTCTTAGAAATCCCAAGTTAGCCAAAGTTCCCTTGATTGAGGCATCCCCAGTACTCTTGAGTTACACACTTATAGACACTCCCATGGATTATTTCTGCAGAAAGACAGTCATTAAATTATGTGGATTTTTAAGTAAGTCTCTCTCGTCATCTCTGTGCTATAGGTTAAGGGATACCTCACCATAACCTTGTAGCTGACAATGACTAATAAACTGAGTTGTTTGTTGTTTTTTAAGATTATTTATGTATTTATTTGACAGAGCACAAGAAGGGAGAGCTGCAGAGGGAGAGGGAGAAGTAGGCTCCCTGCTGAGCAGGGGCTGGATCCCAGTACCCTGGGATCATGACCTGAACTGAAGGCAGACGATTAACTGACTGAGCCACCCAGGCACCCCCTGAGTTGTTTTTAATGGAACTTTTATTTTTTGTACCTAAGGTAATGAAAAACAAGGAGCCTTGTTTCAGAGGCAAGGCCTGTGGAGTTTTGTTTTTTAAGTGAGAGTGTTTTAAGTCTCCTTAGTATTAGTGGTTCTTAATCAGAGTATGCCACTAATTTACTGACCTCAATATAAAACACACAAACTCTGGACCCCGTCCTTATTATGATTGGTTAGCTTTAGGGCAAAATATGTTTTTTGTTATTGCTTGTGGGGTTCAATTAGTTTTTTTTTTAACTCTAAGTAGTGGATGATCTGATACAGTTTTAAACTCTGCAGAAGGCAGAAAGTCAATACTAGATTGTACTTCCCTAGGTAACCATTGTCAATGGTTTCTTAATATTTTTCCAAAAATTGTGTATGTATATGTAAGTTTGTGTGGATATGTATTTTCCAAAAATGCGCTCATATTATACACACTATTTTGCAGTTACTTGCTTAGCATTATATAGAGAGTGCTTTCTATATCATTGCACATAAATCGTGGCTGGTTCATTTATTTCTACCAGTCCCCTGTTAGACACAGGTTATTTTCAGGTTTGTGTGGGTTTTTTGGTCTTGTTTTGTTTGCTTCTATCAACTAGGCTACAGTGAATTTCCTTGCACATTATCCTTGCACACCTGTGTCCTTATATTTTCTGAAGGATAAGTTTTACATGTAGGATTGCTGGTCAAAGAATACTTCCGTTTTGAAGATTAATAGATAATGCCAAATTGGTTCCCCCAAATTGTGCTGATTTGCACTCCTCCCAACAGTATATGAGATGTTAACAGTACACGCTCACCAACTCTTTACAGCCTTTGCCAATCTAATGTGCACAAAAAGGGTATCTAATGTTTGAATTTTGTTTCTTTGTGGTGGTTGTTAAAAACTGTGTCCAATCTAATTTTTATAATTCTTTTTCAAACATCCTTGTATCTTTGTTTTCAGGTTGTATATCTTTTTCTTATTAATGTGTAAAAGTTGTTTGTATAGTAGGGAAATTTTTTCATTGTTATACACGTTTTTCTAATTTATCATTGGCTTTCTACATTATAATATTTTTTACCACATAGAAATATTAAAGTTTTAGTATTCAGGATTTGTTTATTTTTCCTTTGAGGCATATTTGTGTATTTGCACAATGTTTTAGAAGGATTTCCTAAATAGGATGAACACATGTTCCAATTTGCTCGTTATCCTAGTTTAAAGATTAAGAGTACTTTAAAGTACACCTGGGTGGCTCAGTTGGTTGAGCATCCGACTCTTGATTTTGGCTCAGTTCATGATCTCAGCGTTGTGGGATCAAGCCCCGTGTCCAGCTCTGCGCTCAGCAGAGAGTCTGCTTGAGATTCTCTCTCTCCCTCACCCCCCACCCCTGTGCGTTCTCCCTCTCTCTCTCTCAAATTAATAAATCTTAAAAAAACAAAACTTCTATTCACTCTTACAAGGTTCTCTTTTGGAGAAAAAAACTATATGGCTATCAAGTTTCTTAAAGTGTGTATTTTGAAAAATTTCCCAGGTGATACCATAAGTACCAATTGGTTTACTATTTTAAGTGACAAATTCTTATGATAAGTTCCCCAAGATAGATTCCCTCTCTAGTTCTCTTCTATGACAAATATATTTCACTGTGGAGTATAGAAGACATTTTGAGATGCAAGTTAAAATAAAAACATGGAAGAAAATATGCAGAAAATTTTAGTAGAACCTACCATTACACCCTGTATTTTTCTCAGAATTAGCAAAGAATGCTGCAAATAATGGGAAGGTATAAACTGATGGACAAGAATAATGTTTGCCTGAGTGAAATGTTTTTCTAGATTTTGTGTTGGGAAATCAACACGACTTTCTCAAGGATATGTGTAGATACCAGCTCAAGCTTTTTTTTTTTTTTTAAACTTTGTGATGTAACAATCATTCAGTAAAGTGTATTAAACATGAGTTTGTACATCAGTGATTTATCACAAAGTAAACATACCTTGGTAACAACTACATATGTCAAAATTCCCTTTGTGCCTCCCCACAAAAGGTAGCTATACTCCTGACTGCTATCATCATAGATTAGTTCTGCCTGGTTTTAAACTTTATTTAAATAGAATTATATATACAGTGTGCTGTCTTTTTGTGAGATTCATTCTTGTTTTGTGTGAAGCAGTATTTTGTTCATTTTCATTGATTTCTAGTGTACTAGAATGTGAATATATACAATTATATTGTTGGAAGAAGTGTGGGTTGCATCTAGTACTTTGGCTTGTTATAACTAATGCTGCTGTTGATATTGTTATGTATCTCTTGATGCATGTAGGCATTCATTTCTCTTGTGTAGTTATTTCTAGTAGTGTAATTGGGTAACAGAGTATATGTTCGATTTTGGTACATACCGTTAAACGGTTTTCCAAAGTAGTTGTGCCATTTTACACTCCCACCAGCAATCCACATCTTTGCTAATACTTGGAAATGTCAGTCTGAAATTTAGCCATCCTGCTGGGTGTGTATCTCAATGTAGCTTTAATCTGTATCTCCCTGATGACAAATGCTGTTGAGCATTTTTTCTTTTTTTTTTTTTTTTAAGATTTTATTTTTATTTGAGAGAGAGAGAGAGTGAGAGAGAGAGAGTGTACGAGAGGGGGGGAAGGTCAAAGGAAGAAGCAGACTCCCCACTGAGCAGGGAGCCCAATGCGGGACTCGATCCTGGGACTCCAGGATCATGACCTGAGCCAAAGGCAGTCGCTTAACCGACTGAGCCACCCAGGCCCCCGAGCACTTTTTCATATCCTTTTGTTAAGTGCCTGTTAAATCCCTTGCCCATTTTTCTTTTTGATTGTCTGTTTTGTCTTGATTTGTAAGTGTTCTTTCCATATTCTGGGTACTTGGTCCTTTATTAGTTACATGTGGCAACTGTCTTGTCCCACTCCCTTAATACTGCCTCTTGAGTTTATTCCAATTTGTCAGTCTTTTCTTTTATGGTTATACTTTTGTATGCTTAAGAAGTCTTTTCACAGAAATATTCTCTTCTGTTGATTTCTAGAAGCTTTATGATTTTACTTTTCATACTTAGAGATCTGTGAACCAACTGGAGTTGATTTTTATGCACGAGGTGAGCTATAGGTTAAGTTCCTTTTCTCAGATGGTAACCAGTAAAACAATATTATGTTTTTTGTTTTATTTTTGAAAAGGCCTTTGTCACCTTTGACCTAAATCAAGTATCCCCATATATGTGGGACTTCTTTTCTGGACTGTATTCTGCTCCATTGGTCTTTGTATCTAGCCTTGTGATGTACCACAATGTTCTCTTAATTCCTGTAACTTTATAAGTCATTGCATCTGGCAGGGTAAGAGCACATACACACTTAGGTCTTCTTCAAGATTGTATAAGCTATACTTAGTAACCCTTTGTATTTGCATGTATATTTTATTGTCAGTTAAAAAAAAAATCTGAAAAGCAGTGGGGAATCATTGAGGTCTCAGTGAAAATGATCAAAAATTCTTAATGAGATTTTAATAATGGTAAGGTTAGTTCAAATCCAGAATATTAAGATTAAAGAATACTTGTTTTAGTGTTCACTGTATATTCTTACATTCTCGTGTAGACTACTCAGTAAATTGGTCATATTAAAAAAAACTCTAATGATTAAAGAACATACTGGTTTGGAGTTTCATAGTAAGGTTGTAAGTTTATTTTAAAAACATGCAGACTAAGAATATTATCTTGGTGTTTTGTTTTTCAGACCATCTATGGTAACAGTCTTCTGTAAGTCAAGCTTTTTCAAGAATTCGCTGAAGGAACCAAGTAGGATTTTCTTACATCATGACTTAATCTGAATGCAAGAACGAGAAATAGGTTTTATCTCTAAATATAATGAAGGGCTGTGTGTAAACACAGACCCTGACTCAATTCTAATGAGCATTTTAGACATGAGTTTACATCGGCAAATGGGTTCAGATCGTGATCTTCAGTCTTCTGCTTCGTCTGTGAGCTTGCCTTCAGTGAAAAAGGCACCCAAAAAAAGAAGAATTTCAATAGGCTCTCTGTTTCGGAGAAAAAAGGATAACAAACGTAAATCCAGGGAGCTAAATGGCGGGGTGGATGGAATTGCGAGCATTGAAAGTATACATTCTGAAATGTGTACTGATAAGAACTCCATTTTCTCTACAAATACCTCCTCTGACAATGGATTAACTTCTATCAGCAAACAAATTGGAGACTTTATAGAGTGTCCTTTGTGCCTTTTGCGGCATTCTAAAGACAGATTTCCTGAGATAATGACTTGTCATCATAGATCTTGTGTGGATTGCTTACGACAATATCTAAGGATAGAAATTTCTGAAAGTAGAGTTAATATCAGTTGCCCAGAATGTACTGAACGGTTTAATCCCCATGATATTCGCTTGATATTAAGTGATGATGTCTTGATGGAAAAATATGAAGAATTTATGCTTAGACGGTGGCTTGTTGCAGATCCTGATTGTAGGTGGTGTCCAGCTCCAGACTGTGGGTAAGATTTTGTTTGGTTTTTCTTGAGTTAATATTTTTTCTGTGGATAAATAAGAATTAGCTATTACTCAAAAGAAGAATCTTAACATGTCAGGTGATTCATTATTCAGTAGACAAACTTACATTGAGTGCATACCATGTGCCAGGCACAATGTTACATAGATGCTAATGGCAGGAATATTATCTTAGTCATTTTTATATTGTGTCTCATCACATACTCATTTGAGCATTTTCGGAAAAGGGATAAGATGGTAGAGTACAGGGTGCCTGGGTGGCTCAGATGGTTAAGCATCTGCCTTCGGCTCGGGTCATGATCCCGGGGTCCTGGGATTGAGTCCCGCATCGGGCTCCCTGCTCAGCGGGGAGCCTGCCTCTTTCTCTCTCTGTCTCTTATGAATAAATAAATTTTAAAAATCTTTAAAAAAAAAAAAAAAGATGGTAGAGTACAGGATCTAGTTGTGGGCAAAATTGATTATCCCCTTCATTTGGAAAATTGTTATTTTAGTGTAGCAGATGAAATGATCAGGGGTTTTGTTTGGTTTTGGTTGTGGGGGGTTTTGATTGTATAAACTCAAATGACCCTTTCAAAAGACACACACATAATGTGTGCCACAGTGACATGTGTTCATGTCAAGGGTTACTAAGTATAGCTTATACAATCATGACATAAGTACGGCTAGTCTCAAGATTTAAAATAATTTTGCTTATATATTTGATCATTATGCTAATAGCATATTTTCTTTATAGAGCATTTACTATGTAGGGTTGTCATAACTAGGACTAAACAGTCATATGCTTTTCAAGAATAACAAAAACTGTGAACACTGGATGTTATTTAGCATACCATTAGCAAGCTAGAGATTATGTATAATTAAGAGTTGGGGAAAACCCAGAACTTTCAAGATTATTGGGTATAGGCCGAAACAAGGGTGGAATGTGAGTTTAGTTTCTCAGATGAAGTTTCAGGGTTCATCATCTGAATCAAATCTATTATTAAAAGCTTGTTGAGTAGCAACTTTTCAGATTTCATCTAGCCTATCTCTCTCATTTTAAATGAGAAAATTAATAATATGTTTCCAGCCTTTGCAAATCCCAACCAGTTTTCCCAGGTATAACTAACACTTAACTGTCCACCAAGGATTTCAGTGGAAATAAAGCATTAAAAAATTACCTGATTATTTAAAATTTTATGAATTCATTAGTTGTGTGAAGGACTTAGAAATACTATTCATTATCACATTTAAACTGTGCTTTCCTCTAATGCAGGGAGCTTGTACTAAAACATATAAATAATAAAATAATTTGTTAAAGATACTTTCTAAACTGGACCAAGGTTGGCTGTGCTTCCAGGTATATGACAGAAGCAAACTCTGGGATCCATGAAGAGTTAAACTCTCAAGAAAAGGATTGGAAGAAATAGGGATAATGAACAATACCTTTAAATAACTTGAGCAGGAGACAGTGTCCTGTCAAAAGAACAGCTTGGATACAGTTCTATCACTCTTGGTCCCATGGACGCCTGCACAGCGTTTTCACTGGTGCAAGCATGCACATTTATTAGATTTCGAGTTGGACAGCAAATTTTAATTAAAAACACTTTTTGCAAATCATTATAGCAGATACTCATTTAGCAAGAATTCAGAGGAATATGCCATTATGTTGTGTTTTGTCTGGATAAAGAATGTGGTTTTCTAACTATCATTCATGGAACCCCAGGGTAAAAAGTACTTAACAAGTTCTTCAAGCATTTAATAGTTTTAAAAGAAAAAGTTTGAAAATGATGGCATGAATTAAAAGCTTAAGTGTCAGAAGCTATGGCCCCAAGAGATTGAGACAGTAAATCCTGGGCACAAATTTTCTGTTCACTAAATAGATATATTCTCTTGAGCTGTGTTGATTGGTCATGTGTTCTTAATGGATATCAACTGTATCAACTTAATAGAAACAATAGATACAGCTGACACAGATTCTTGTGTATATAAGAATTTGATTTTAGGGGAAACATGCTAAACCAACTGGGAAAGGATTGATTTTTCAACATACAGAATTGTGAAAAGTACCTATTTGAGGGGGAAAAAATAGGTTGTCACTACACATAACACACCAGAACAAAATCAAAACAGATTATAAAGGAAAGTTTTATAAATAAAAGAAAAATTTAAACTTAAAAAAATATAGGTGGGGCGCCTGGGTGGCTCAGTTGTTAAGCATCTGCCTTCGGCTCAGGTCATGATCCCAGGGTCCTGGGATCGAGCCCCGCATTGGGCTCCCTGTTCAGCGGGAAGCCTGCTTCTCTCTCTCTCTCACTCCCCCTGCTTGTGTTCCCTCTCTCTCTGTGTCTCCCTGTCAAATAAATAAATAAAATCTTTAAAATAAATAAAAGAAGATATAGGTGTAAGATTAGCTCATCTGCTGCCATATTATTATTAAAATTGAATACACATTTACCCTGTAACTTAGAAGATCCACTCCTAGTGAAATACCTTGAAGAAACTCTTGTGTGCCTGGAGACATCTAGTTAGGAGACATGTCTAAGAATGTTCATAATAGGGGCACCTGGGTGACACATCCAACTCTTGGTTTCAGCTCAGGTAGTGATCTCAGAGTCGTGAGATCAAGCCCCGCCACCACTCTGCACGTAGTGGGGAGTCTGCTTGAGATTCTCCCTCTCCCTCTGCCCCTCCTGCTCATGCACTCTCTCTCTAAAATGAATAAATCTTTTAAAAAAAAGAATGTTCATAATAGCAAACAAGAAAAAAGTGTTCATTAACAGTAAAATGGATGAATATATTTAGTTTCATGGTTGCCTGTTGAAAGGAGGATGTGAACTTGAAGGGGCAATCAAGGGGCTTCTAAAGCCACTGATAAATGAGGTAAAACATAGGTTCTGATTTGCCAGAGATAGTTTAGTTTATGCTTCTGCTATAATTTGTAATTGCATTACCCTTCTCAAGTGTTTCAGCTTAGGTTGTTTATTATATGATCACCCTACTAATACTTTTCTTAGTTTGTGTGGTAGATACAGGGGTATTTGTTTTTATATATAAATCCTTTTTGTGTGGGTGACATTTCTCAGTAAAATTTAAAAGTGTTTCATAAACTCATACTTTGGGTTATTGTTGCCCATTTTCTTCTTATTGAGACTTCATTGTCAGAGAATAAAATGGCTTAGGGGCTCAATCGGTTAAGTGTCTAACTCTTGATTTTGGCTAAGGTCATGATCTCAAGGTTGTAGGATCTAGCCTTACATTGGGCTTGAGTGGAGTCTGCTTGTCCATCTTCCTCTGCTCCTCCCCTGGCTCTCTCTCTGTCTGTCTCTTTCTCTCAAATAAATGAATAAAATCTTTTTTAAAAAAAAGTAAAATGCCTTAATATTCTAAATATTTTGGAGAAGATAAATGTTAACTCAAGTATAAAATATAAAATAATAGAACCACCTACTTTAATAGATTCTGTTATTATGAAAACAACCACTTGATTGTTATAGAAGTTTAACAAAGAATTAGCCTTGATTAATTTGACTATAAATTAACTCTTGGTTTGGTGGTTGTCAGTAGTCTTACCCACAAAGGACAAAGAAAACATGTCAACATTACTTTTATTTATGTATTGTCATTTATATTTGATTTATGTTGTCTCTCTAGATTAAGAGCATATTTTATATACTTGATTACACTGTAGGCTTTATAGTTGCGTTACACAGAAACTGTCAGCCAGTAACAGAAAAGTTGTATGTGTACTTTGAAAACATGGAATACTACATAAGCCTTCATGAAAGGTTTCAGTTGTACTTGCCATGCACATGTAGACCTGATTTTAAATCTCTATCCTATCATGTTGTTATAAGGATTGGGTTAGACCTCCACTTTTATTACTAGCATAATTCCTAGTACACAGCAAGTTTTTTGTAGCTCTTATTTATCATTCCTTATGTCCATTTCTGAAGTTTTGCCTTAATTTTTAAAATCAGTCATTCAAATATTTTATGCACCTGTGTGCCAGGTACTTGGAAATTTGATAATAAACAAAAACAAAAATCCCTGCCCTCTTGGAACTTATTAAAATCTTTGAATCCGCAGAGGGACATATTTTATTTAGAATCCATTTATTATTTAAATCTGGCATAAAGAATACTGGTAAATATCTGATTGTTAGGCAGTGAGTAATAGAAATACTTAGCCAGCTAGGACCATTGGCATGTATGTAGTATTTAACCCTTTCCGTTGTACAACACACTTGAAAGGCTTTTTTCTAGAAATGCTATATGTGAAATTATGAATTTTTTTCTTTTGCATTTGATATTTATCAATATGACCATTTTCTGTACTGACATTAATTTTACTTAAACATGTAGTTTAACACACTTTGAGAAATATTGCCCTTAGCTTAGAGTAGAAAGAAAAGCTGACCTGGTTTCTATTTGAGATCTCTTAGGGTTTCTGACCTAATATTCTTTCTACTCTTCTGAGGGCCAGGACAAATTAAACTTGTTTTAAAAAAAAGTATTTCGGAAAAGTCTTCTTGAGACGGAGCCAAACCTGTGTGCTGTGATTTAACCAGGGTGAGGTTAGCTAAACTGCTTCTATAACATGCAGTCTACACAGGTTCAGAGAAGAATCTGGCCGTGGCTAGGAGAATTGTTGGGTTGAGGTGAGGGCCACATAGGAAGGAATGCATAGAACCTGTCTTGAGTAAAAATACCTGATTACCTTCTGCCCAGGAAGCCTAGTTTATACATTGTAGGCAGATAGCAAAAAGTTGGCATTTTAGTTTTTGTGATCATGTGTTTCAATTGGCCACCCTTCTACCAGCATACATTATCCCTGTTATCTCATGTAAGTGCTTCTGACTTTGCTGGGGAGCTTTGAATATACAAGAACATTTATTATACAAGAATATAGTTAATGATTTAATAAGGTCTGTGAGCCTCTCGAGGGCAAAAAAGAATAAAGTATTTGATTTTTCTTTGTAATTGCTGGTTAGTAAAGAGTTGTTGAATGA